ATTGTAAACAAATCTAAAATATATATAGTTGGGTTAGGCTAAAATAAATTGTTCTTATTATAATAAGGTTAGGTAAGTTTTCTAAGATTCTTTTGGTGCAAAATTAAAATTTTTTACATTAACATTAATGAAAAAAATATATCTTTAATCGCATAAGAGAAAATTTTAGAAAAGACTTAATTTTAAATGAGTTCTTGCTAATTGACCAATTTTACATATTCGGCACGACATATATATAGTATTGTAACCACGAACGAGTGGTATTGATCAATAACAACACTGCGCAGGCCAAGGATTCGAACCCATGTTGTACTTGCCTGCCTCATGATAAGCGAAAACCACATGACGCTTTATGCCACATTACCACCCAACCCAACAAGAATGGCGCAGCCAGCACAGCCCAACACCTAGCTGCGTGCTGGCTGCGTCATTCTTGTAGGGTTGGGTGGTCCTGTGGTTTAAATCGTCATGTGGTTCTCGCTTACCATGAGGCAGGCAAGTACAACATAGGTTCGAATCCTTGGCTAGCGCAGTGTTGTTATTGATATATATATATTATATATATATATATATATATATATATATATCTTCTTTTCTTTCTTTCAACACACCGGCTGTATCCTACCGAGGCGGGGTGGCCCAAAAAGAAAAACGAAAGTTTCTCCTTTTACATCTAGTAATATATACAGGAGAAGAGGTTACTAGCCTCTTCCTCCGGCATTTAGTCGCCTCTTACAACACGCATGGCTTACGGAGGAAAAATTCTGTTTCACTTCCTCATGGAGGTAAGAGGAAATAAACAAGAACAAGAACTAGAAAGAAAATAGAAGAAAACCCAGAGGGGTGTGTATATATATGTTTGTACATGTATGTGTAGTGTGACCTAAGTGTAAGCAGAAGTAGCAAGACGTACCTGAAATCTTGCTTGTGACGAGGAGAAAAAAAAAAAAAAAACAAAAAGCAATCTACCATCGTGTAAAAAAAATTTACAGGTTTCTTTTTCACTCATTTGGCGGAGGGTAGTCCCCTCCCGGGCGGTTGCTGTCTCCCAAACCCTACTCCTAGGAATATTAATTTTAAAAAAATATTATAAATATATAATTATATATTATATATATAATAAAATATATAATATACCTATATATATTTCACTTTAAAAGGGTTTACCGGGACCGGGATTTTCCCCCAATGCCAGCCCCCTCTATTACCCTTTGCAACTTCAACGAAACCGCCAATTCCCCAAAATGTGCTCCCCCCGCAGGTCGTCGCAGTTTACGGGTAGGTGCTCACATGTGCGTTAACCACGGGCATATCAAAAGGGTATGTAAATGTAGATAGTTCACCACTCGGCAAATGCCAGACGAAAATCAAAGGCTCCCTTACAGAGGAGCTTTTTTCGCCACTGCTTTAAACCCGGGTGCAGCCGTTAGCAGACGTCACACCCTGCCCCCACACCCACAGTAACTTCTCAGTGCTACGGGGCTGCCGGGGTGAGAGAAAGTGTTTCACTTTTGTTCTCATCCGCCCCCTCTTTTGTCCAGTGTTTCCTTCGGGTTTTTGGGGGGGTTTCGTTTGATAATGTGTAAAAGGAAGTCTTTAACACTGAAACTAACTCTATCATAGAACTTCACAAAGCTGGGGCCCCGACGAAAGAAACAGTGGGAAAAGTTGGTTTTGTGTGAGCGTCAGTGGGAATGGATGCAGTGTTTCAAATGGGGGTGGGTTGAGTTACCGTCTGCAGACCCCGGCCCCGACCCCCCAAAGAAGACTCTGTTTGTACCTTAACTGGAAAGGAGCAGTTAGAAAGTACACGTAAAAAAACTGCTAGAAATTGAAGGGGAAAAAAACCAACATTTCTTCGAGGTGTCTAAGAACTGTTTAAAAGACGTGGTCAGAATTTGGGTACAGTAGTCACCGCCAGGTAAAAACCGATATCTCCAGTCCACAGATCAAATGTAGGCTGAATTATGCAAAGAAATATCTTCACTGGAATCCTCAACAGTGGTCTGAAATACTTTGGAGTGATGAAGCAACCTTCACCGTCACCAGTAACCATGGGGGACATGTGTACCGGCTAAAGGTAGTGTCCACGCTGCACCTGTGGGACAACCAAACACCCAGACTCGCTCATGGTTTGAGGGTGTTTCAGTGCTCAGAGTGTTGGTGAACTCATTGTGTTTCCCCAAAACCAGTATGTGAACCAGTATAATTACCTGGAGTTATCGTGTGACAATTTACCTGAGACGTTTGACAAATGTGGGGGCTACGGTTTTTATGCAAGATGGTGCACTGTGTCATACCGCCAAATCTGTAGTTCAGTGGCTTAAGGACTGTGAAGTGAGGTTCTTTAATGACTTGTCAGGCAATTCCCCAGACTTAAACCCTATTGAGAACCTCTGGTCAATAGTGAAATGAAGTTTACTGGGCAAGGATATCATTTCCATCATATTGCTGGAGGCTGCTCCACATGAGGCATGGAATAATATACTTCCCCAAACCCTAAAGAATTTGTGAGTCTTCCTACACGGCTGAGGGACGGGATGTGTTTGTGTTTTGGTACGTGTATGGGGGAGGGGAGGCATAATGCCGTGACTAGCACTGTATGTCACACCACATCTATGTCACACGACAGGCAGGTTACTCACGTCTCACACCCCATGTATGTCACATGACAGGCAGGCTACTCCCGTCTCACACCCCATTTATGTCACATGACAGGGCAGGTTACCCCCGTCTCACACCCCATGTATGTCATATGACAGGCAGGTTACTCCCGTCTCACACCCCATGCATGTCACATGACAGGCAGGTTACTCCCGTCTCACACCCCATGCATGTCACATGACAGGCAGGTTACTCCCGTCTCACACCCTATGTATGTCACATGATAGGCAGGTTACTCCCGTCTCACACGCCATGTATGTCACATGACAGGCAGGTTACCCCCTACTCTCACCCCATGTATGTCACATGACAGGCAGGTTACTCCCGTCTCACACCCCATGTATGTCACATGACAGGCAGGTTGCTCCCGCCTCACACCCCATGTATGTCACATGACAGGCAGGTTACCCCCGTCTCACACCCCATGTATGTCACATGACAGGCAGGTTACCCCCGTCTCACACCCCATGTATGTCACATGACAGGCAGGTTACCCCCGTCTCACACCCCATGTATGTCACATGACAGGCAGGTTACTCCTGTCTCACACCCCATGTATGTCACATGACAGGCAGGTTACTCCCGTCTCACACCCAATGTATGTCACATGACAGGCAGGTTACTCCAGTCTCACACCCCATGTATGTCACATGACAGGCAGGTTACTCCCGTCTCACACCCCATGTATGTCACATGACAGGAAGGTTTCTCCAGTCTCACACCCCATGTATGTCACATGACAGGCAGGTTACCCCGCCTCACACCCCATGTATGTCACATGACAGGCAGGTTACCCCGTCTCACACCCCATGTATGTCACATGACAGGCAGGTTACTCCCGTCTCACACCCCATGTGTGTCACATCATAACAGGCAGGTTTCTCAAGTCTCACACCCCATGTATGTCACATGACAGGCAGGTTACTCCCGTCTCACACCCCATGTATGTCATATGACAGGCAGGTTACTCCCGTCTCACACCCCATGTATGTCACATGACAGGCAGGTTACTCCCGTCTCACACCCCATTATGTCACATGACAGGTAGGTTACTCCCGTGTCACACCCCATGTATGTCACTTGACAGGCAGGATACTCCCGTCTCATGCCCCATGTATATCACATGACAGGCAGGTTACTCCCGTCTCACACCCCATGTATATCACATGACAGGCAGATTACTTCCGTCTCACACCTCATGTATGTCACATGACAGGCAGGTTACTTCCGTCTAGCACCCCATGTATGTCACATGACAAACAGGTTACTCCAGTCTAACACCCTATGTATGTCACATGACAGGAAGGTTACCCCCGTCTCACACCCCATGTATGTCACATGACAGGCAGGTTACTTAGTCTCACACCCCATGTATGTCACATGACAGGCAGGTTACTTCCGTCTCACACCCCATGTATGTCACATGACAGGCAGGTTACCCCCGTCTCACACCCCATGTATGTCACATGACAGGCACGTTACTCCTGTCTCACTCCCCATGCATGTCACATGACAGGCAGGTTACTCCCGTCTCACACCCCATGTATGTCACATGACAGGCATGTTACTTCCGTCTCACACCCCTTGTAAGTCACATTAGAGGCAGGTTACTCCCGTCTCACACCCCATGTATGTCACATGACAGGCAGGTTACCCCCGTCTCACACCCCATGTATGTCACATGACAGGCAGGTTACTCCCGTCTCACACCCCATGTATGTCACATGACAGGCAGGTTACTCCCGTCTAACACCCCATGTACGTCACATGAAAGGCAGGTTACTCCCGTCTCACACCCCATGTATGTTACATGACAGGCACGTTACCCCCGTCTAACACCCAATGTATGTCACACGACAGGCAGGTTACTACTGTCTCACACCCCATGTATGTCATATGACCGGCAGGTTACCCCGTCTCACCCCTTCCATTTTATGTCACATGACAGGCAGGTTACTCCCGTCTCAAACCCATGTATGTCACATGACAGGCAGGTTACTCCCGTCTCACACCCCATGTATGTCACATGACAGGCAGGTTACTCCCGTCTCACACCCCATGTATGTCACATGACAGGCAGGTTACTCCAGTCTCACACCCCATGTATATCACATGACAGGCAGGTTACCCCCGTCTCACACCCCATGTATGTCACATGACAGGCAGGTTACTCCAGTCTCACACCCCATGTATGTCACATGACAGGCAGGTTACCCCCGTCTCACACCCCATGAAATGTCACATGACAGGCAGGTTTTCTCCAGTCTCACACCCCATGTATGTCACATGACAGGCAGGTTACTCCCGTCTCACACCCCATGTATGTCACATGACAGGCAGGTTACTCCAGTCTCACACCCCATGTATGTCACATGCCCAGGCAGGTTACTCCCGTCTCACACCCCATGAAGTACATGACGGCAGGTTACTCCCGTCTCACACCCCTGTATGTCACATGACAGGCGGGTTTACTCCCGTCTCACACACCATGTATGTCACATGACAGGCAGGTTACTCCCGTCTCACACACCATGTATGTCACATGACAGGCAGGTTACCCCCGTCTCACACACCATGTATGTCACATGACAGGCAGGTTACTCCCGTCTCACACCCCATGTATGTCACATGACAGGCAGGTTACCCCGTCTCACACACCATGTATGTCACATGACAGGCAGGTTACCCCCGTCTCACACACCATGTAATGTCACATGCAGGCAGGTTACTCCCTCTCACACACCATTGTATGTCACAGACAGGCAGGTTACCCCCGTCTCAAAACCCCATGTAGGTCACATGACAGGCAGGTTACTCCCGTCTCACACACCATGTATGTCACATGACAGGCAGGTTACCCCGTCTCACACACCATGTATGTCACATGACAGGCAGGTTACCCCCGTCTCACACACCATGATGTCACATGACAGGCAGGTTACCCCCGTCTCACACCCCCATGTAGTCACTTTACAGGCAGGTTACTTCCCGTCTCACAAAACCATGTATGTCACAGACAGGCAGGTTACTCCGTCTCACACACCATGTATGTCACATGACAGGCAGGTTACTTCCGTCTCACACCCCATGTATGTCACATGACAGGCATTTTACTCCCGTCTCGCCACCATGTATGTCACATGACAGGCAGGTTACCCCCCGTCTCACACCCCATGTATGTCACAGGGACAGGCAGGTTACTCCCGTCTCACACACCATGTATGTCACATGACAGGCAGGTTACTTCCGTCTCACACCCCATGTATGTCACATGACAGGCAGGTTACTCCCGTCTCACACACCATGTATGTCACATGACAGGCAGGTTACCCCCGTCTCACACCCCATGTATGTCACATGACAGGCAGGTTACTCCCGTCTCACACACCATGAAATGTCACATGACAGGCAGGTTACTCCCGTCTCACACCCCATGTATGTCACATGACAGGCAGGTTTACTCCCGTCTCACCCCACCATTTTATGTCACATGACAGGCAGGTTATTCCCGTCTCACACACCATGTATGTCACATGACAGGCAGGTTACCCCCGTCTCACCCCCCAAATGTATGTCACATGACAGGCGGGTTTTACCCCGTCTAAACACCCCATGTATTATCACATGACAGGCAGGTTACCCCGTCTCAAAACCCATGTATGTCACATGACAGGCAGGTTACTCCAGTCTCACACCCCATTATGTCACATGACAGGCAGGTTACCCCCGTCTCACACCCCATGAAATGTCACATGACAGGCAGGTTACTCCAAGTCTCACACCCCATGTATGTCACATGACAGGCAGGTTACTCCCGTCTCACACCCCATGTATGTCACATGACAGGCAGGTTACTCCCGTCTCACACCCCATGTATGTCACATGACAGGCAGGTTACTCCCGTCTCACACCCCATGTATTTCACATGACGGGCGGGTTTTACTCCCGTCTCACACCCCCATGTATGTCACATGACAGGCGGTTACTCCGTCTCACACCCCAAATGTATGTCACATGACAGGCAGGTTACTCCCGTCCCCACACCCCATGTATGTCACATGACAGGCAGGTTACTCCCGTCTCACACACCATGTATGTCACATGACAGGCAGGTTACTCCCGTCTCACACACCATGTATGTCACATGACAGGCAGGTTACCCCCGTCTCACACACCATGTATGTCACATGACAGGCAGGTTACTCCCGTCTCACACCCCTGTATGTCACTGACAGGCAGGTTACTCCCGTTCACACACCATGTATGTCACATGCGGGCAGGTTACCCCCGTCTCACACACCATGTATGTCACATGACAGGCAGGTTACTCCCGTCTACCAACCATGTATGTCACATGACAGGCAGGTTACCCCCGTCTCACCCCCCATGAAATGTCACATGACAGGCGGGTTTACTCCCGTCTCACACACCATGTATGTCACATGACAGGCAGGTTACCCCCGTCTCACACACCATGTATGTCACATGACAGGCAGGTTACTCCCGTCTCACACACCATGTATGTCACATGACAGGCAGGTTACCCCCGTCTCACACCCCATGTATGTCACATGACAGGCAGGTTACTCCCGTCTCCCCACACCAATTATGTCACATGACAGGCAGGTTACTCCCGTCTCACACACCATGTATGTCACATGACAGGCAGGTACTTCCGTCTCACACCCCATGTATGCCCACATGACAGGCAGGTTACTCCCGTTCGCACACCATGTATGTCACATGACAGGTAGGTTACCCCCGTCTCACACCCCATGTATGTCACATGACAGGCAGGTTACTCCCGTCTCACACACCATGTATGTCACATGACAGGCAGGTTACTTCCGTCTCACACCCCATGTATGTCACTTTGACAGGCAGGTTACTCCCTTTCTCACACACCATGTATGTCACATGACAGGCAGGTTACCCCTTCTCACACCCCATGTTTTGTCACATGACAGGCAGGTTACTCCCGTCTCACACACCAGTATGTCACATGCAGGCAGGTTACTCCCGTCTCACACCCCTTTTATGTCACATGACAGGCAGGTTACCCCGTCTCACAAAACCATGTATGTCACATGACAGGCAGGTTATTCCCGTCTCACACACCATGTATGTCACATGACAGGCAGGTTACCCCCGTCTCACACACCATGTATGTCACATGACAGGCAGGTTACTCCCGTCTCACACCCCATGTATGTCACATGACAGGCAGGTTACCCCCGTCTCACACCCCATGTATGTCACATGACAGGCAGGTTACCCCGTCTCACACCCCATGTATGTCACATGACAAGCAGGTTACTCCCGTCTCACACCCCATGTATGTCACATGACAGGCAGGTTACTCCCGTCTCACACACCATGTATGTCACATGACAGGCAGGTTACCCCCTTTCTCACACACCATGTTATGCACATGACAGGCAGGTTACTCCCGTCTCACACCCCATGTATGTCACATGACAGGCAGGTTACCCCCGCTCACCCCCCCATGTATGTCACATGACAGGCGGGTTTTACCCCCGTCTCACACCCCATATATGTCACATGACAGGCAGGTTACTCCCGTCTCACACCCCATGTATGTCACATAAACAGGCAGGTTACTCCGTCTCACACACCATGTAGTCACATGACAGGCAGGTTACCCCCGTCTCACACCCCCAGGTATGTAATGACAGGCAGGTTACCCCCGTCTCACACCCCATGTATGTCACATGACAGGCAGGTTACCCCCGTCTCACACCCCATGTATGTCACATGACAGGCAGGTTACTCCCGTCTCACACCCCATGTATGTCACATGACAGGCAGGTTACTCCCGTCTCACACACCATGTATGTCACATGACAGGCAGGTTACCCCCGTCTCACACACCATGTATGTCACATGACAGCCAGGTTACCCCCGTCTCACACCCCATGAAATGTCATATGACAGGCAGGTTACCCCCGTCTCACACCCCATGAAATGTCACATGACAGGGGGTTACTCCCGTCTCACACACCATGTATGTCACATGACAGGCAGGTTACTCCAGTCTCACACCCCATGTATGTCACAGGGACAGGCAGGTTACCCCCCGTCTCCACCCCATGTTTTGTACATGACAGGCAGGTTACTACCCGTCTCACACACCATGTATGTCACATGACGGGCGGGTTTACTTCCGTCTCACACACCATGTATGTCACATGACGGGCAGGTTACTCCAGTCTCACACCCCATGTATGTTAAAAGACGGCAGGTTACCCCCGTCTCAACACCCCATGTATGTCACATGACAGGCAGGTTACTCCCGTCTCACACCCCATGTAGTCACATGACAGGAAAGGGTTTACTCCCTTTCTACACACCATGTATGTCACATGACAGGCGGGTTTACCCCGTCTCACACCCCTTGTATGTCACATACGGGCCCCAGGTTACCCCGTCTCAAACCCCCATGTATGTTCACATGACAGGCAGGTTACCCGTCCCACCCCATGTATGTACATGACAGGCAGTTACCCCCGTCTCACCACCCCAAGTATGTCACATGACAGGCAGGTTACCCCCGTCTCACACCCCATGTATGTCACATGACAGGCAGGTTACCCCCGTCTCACACCCCATGTATGTCACATGACAGGCAGGTTACTTCCGTCTCACACCCCATGTATGTCACATGACAGGCAGGTTACCCCGTCTCACACCCCATGTATGTCACATGACAGGCAGGTTACTCCCGTCACACACACCATGTATGTAAACATGACAGGCAGGTTACCCCGTCTCACACCCCATGTATGTCACATGACAGGCAGGTTACCCCCCGTCTCACACCCCATGTATGTCAAGACAGGCAGGTTACTTCCGTCTCACACCCAGGAATGTCACATGACAGGCAGGTTACTCCCGTCTCACACCCCATGTATGTCACATGACAGGCAGGTTACTTCCGTCTCACACCCCATGTATGTCACATGACAGGCAGGTTACTCCCGTCTCACACCCCATGTATGTCACATGACAGGCAGGTTACTTCCGTCTCACACCCCATGTATGTCACATGACAGGCAGGTTACTCCCGTCTCACACCCCATGTATGTCACATGACAGGCAGGTTACTTCCGTCTCACACCCCATGTATGTCACATGACAGGCAGGTTACTCCCCGTCTCACACACCATGTATTCACAGGACAGGCGGGTTTAAACCCCCGTCTCACACCCCATGTTGTCACAGACAGGCAGGTTTACCCCCGTCCACACCCATGTATGTCACATGACAGGCAGGTTACCCCCGTCTCACACCCCATGTATGTCACATGACAGGCAGGTTACTCCCGTCTCACACCCCATGTATGTCACATGACAGGCAGGTTACTTCCGTCTCACACCCCATGTATGTCACTGACGGGCAGGTTACCCCCGTCTCACACCCCATGTATGTCACATGACAGGCAGGTTACTCCCGTCTCACACCCCATGTATGTCACATGACAGGCAGGTTACCCCCGTCTCACACCCCATGTATGTCACATGACAGGCAGGTTACCCCCGTCTCACACACCATGTATGTCACATGACGGCAGGTTACCCCCCGTCTCAAAACCCATGTATGTCACATGACAGGCATGTTACCCCCGTCTCACACCCCATGTATGTCACAGACAGGCAGGTTACCCCCGTCTCACACCCCATGTATGTCACAGACGGGCAGGTTACTCCCGTCTCACACCCATGTATGTCACATGACAGGCAGGTTACTTCCGTCTCACACCCCATGTATGTCACATGACAGGCAGGTTACCCCTGTCTCACACCCCATGTATGTCACATGACAGGCAGGTTCTCCCGTCTCAACTCCATGTATGTCACATGACAGGCAGTTACCCCCGTCTCAACCCCATGTATGTCACATGACAGGCAGGTTACTCCCGTCTCACACACCATGTATGGTCACATGACAGGCGGTTACCCCGTCTCGCACCCCATGTATGTCACATAAGGCGGGTTTTACCCCGTCCACACCCCATGTATGTCACATGACAGGCAGGTTACCCCCGTCTCACACCCCATGTATGTCACATGACAGGCAGGTTACCCCCGTCTCACACCCCATGTATGTCACATGACAGGCAGGTTACCCCCGTCTCACACCCCATGTATGTCACATGACAGGCAGGTTACCCCCGTCTCACACCCCATGTATGTCACATGACAGGCAGGTTACCCCCGTCTCACACCCCATGTATGTCACATGACAGGCGGGTTTTACCCCGTCTCACACCCCATGTATTTTCACATGACAGACAGGTTACCTCCGTCTCACACCCCAATTTTATGTCAATGACAGGCAGGTTACCCCCGTCTTACACCCCATGTATGTCACATGACAGGCAGGTTACCCCCGTCTCACACCCCATGTATGTCACATGACAGGCAGGTTACCCCCGTCTCACACCCCATGTATGTCACATGACAGACGGTTACCCCCGCTCACACCCCATTATGTCACATGACAGGCAGGTTACCCCGTCTCACACCCCTTTGTAGTAAAATGACAGGCAGGTTACTCCCGTCTCACACCCCATGTATGTCACATGACAGGCAGGTTACCCCCGTCTCACACCCCATGTATGTCACATGACAGGCAGGTTACCCCCGTCTCACACACCATGTATGTCACATGACAGGCGGGTTTAAACCCCCGTCCACACCCCATGTATGTCACATGACAGGCAGGTTACCCCCGTCTCACACCCCATGTATGTCACATGACAGGCAGGTTACCCCCGTCTCACACCCCATGTATGTCACATGACAGGCAGGTTACTCCCGTCTCACACCACTTTTACTTAGCCATGTATAACCCTTACTTTTTTTATTATATTTTTATTACTGTAATAACGATAATGATAATACTGCGACTTGTACTAATACTACTGCTATTATTATTATTATTATTATTATTACTACTACTACTACTACTAATAATAATAATAATAACAAAAATAATAAAAGCAAGAAAAGTAATAATAATAATAATAAAAGTAATAATAATTCACCTTAGTCACTTAATATTTAATTATTATTATTATTATTATTATTATTCTTGTTAATATTATTATTATTATAATATTATTATTACTACTACTAGTAATATTAATAATAATCAAAATAATAAAAGCAAGAAAAGTAATAATAATAATAATAATAATAATAATGATAATAATAATAAAAATAACAATAATTCACCTTTGTCACATAATATTTAACTTTGTATATTAGTATATTTCGTCAAACTGTGAAGGACTGTGTTAGGAAAAGTGATCAGTCAGAAGCCTATAACACAAGATTACATCACACAGTTACAAAGAGCCTAACATACTGCATTTTATTACAGAGCTTCGAAGACTCTGGCTTGTCAGACCAGTACAAGCTAATAGCCACCAGTTGGGACACTCCAGAGTTGGAGTATGTGGCATTGTTGGAGCACCGAGATCTGCCTATCTTCACCTTTCAGTTCCACCCGGAGAAGAATCTGTTTGAGTGGGCGGTCGACACTCAGCACTCCAGTATTCCTCACACACCAGAAGCTGTGGAAATCGCTCAGAACTTTGCTAACTTTTTCGTTGACCAGGGTGAGTGAGGGTGACGTTTTCGTTAACTATAGAGAATGGGTGCAATGTTTTCGTTAACCAGGGTGAGTGGGTATAACTTTTTCTTAACCAAGGTAAGTGTACCTTCTTTTCGTTGACTAAGGTGAGTATCTGGAAAACATTAGGGACGTGTTTCTATAAGACACCTGCTGTCCCTGTCCTTGTTCACCCATCAGTGTAAAATGGGTGCCTGGGTGTTAGAAGACTGGTGTGGGTCACATCCTAGGTGTTAGTGGACTGGTGTGGGTCGCATCCTGGGACAAAACTGACCTAATTTACGGGAAATGCTCAGCATAAGAAGGGACTTTCTACATAGTAGTATGTCACTGATGTCAGCTATGGTCTGTATATCTTGTACATGTACTGGTAGTAAATAAAGATATTATTATTATATATTACTCTAGTAAATCATTTCAATGGTATAAATTTGGAGTCAACAATAGGCTACCAAACTTTGTTGAATAACCTTACTAGTCATTTGCTCAGGCTATGAGCATCAATAATACTGTAATAACCATCTCTTTACCATTTAACTTTACAACACAGGAAGCAACAGACGGAAATTATTT